GGCACTGCCCGAGGTCCTGGGGTCAGTAGGGGCCCCATGAGATGCCCCTGGTACCTTTTTCATAGGCTTTTTTGAGTTTGGGCAAAGACACAGGGGCCCCATGATCCCCTATTGCCCGGGGGCCCCATGAGTTGTCAGTCCGCCCCTGGTCTTGTCCCTGACGTCCTCTGACAGCTCCTTGGTCTTGCCCATGGTGGGGGTTGGATGGAAGGGATTCTGAGGACAGGCGTCTTTTATACAGAGAACGAGTTGTCGGTAGGAGGACCTTCTTACATGGACAGGACTGATCTGTGTACCACATGAGCACAGAGCCCGTCTGTGGGAGCCAGAATCATTGGTGGTTGGTAGGGGATCAAACACTTCTTGTACTCCCTGAACTGCAACTCCATTTGTAACATTTGTATCGAGTTGTTTCTGGATTTTGGTTGATATTCTGTCTCCATCATCTCTATACATCGAGGATACAAATTATAGACCGATCATTTCTGTGTAAGTGGGCGAACGTTCACCATCTGCGGGGAGCAAATCCGTTCTTCCCACCACTGTATATGTAGGGACCCTGTCACTCTGGGACCCGTGCACCTCTGATTATATTTAGGGGCCCCATTAATGGGGACTGTTAGGAAGGACTATTCTGCCCCAGTCATATTGAGGGGCACCTCAGACAGTTCCTGTTTCAGGCACTCTTGATACATGAGGCCAAGTCTCGGGTTTTCCTAATATTCCATTTTTATTGAACATCAGTGGCCCTGATAAAATATGGTCAGTGATTGGATCATTGAGTGTAAAACAATGGAAGCCTATTGGCTGAGATGTACAGTTGCTGCTCTCTGATTGGACAGGGGCAGAGTTGGGTAGTATGATGATTGGCGCAGACCACAGATGATCATACTCTCGGTGGTGGGTTGGTTGGTCTGATGTGGATTGGTCAGACGCCATTATTGTAGTATCAGTTCAGCTGTAGGTGGGTCTCTCCGGTTTCCTCCTCACTTTGTTCTCTCCTCCTCCCAGAGGCCTCAGCGCAGACAGAAGTTGAAGGATTTGCACCAATCTCCAGCCTTCGATTCAGCCAAGTGAGATCGTCTTACCGGCTCTCCTGCCCCGCCGCTCTGCTGCTTCCGGACGACCACCGAGGATCCCGACTCCTCTCGGAGGGTTTTTTATTTTGCACCGTGACTAACATGGCGCCTGTTTTCCTGACCAAAGCGCCGTTGCACCAGACCCCTGGTGACGTCTCCCGACCGGCAGTCTGAGGACTCGTGACGCAAAATTTCGGAGAAGCTGCTGAGAGTCCGCGACATTCCGACATCATTTTTAGAGACTCGTCAAGACGGGAGATCTTCGGATAATCCCATTCCGCAGGAAGGTGTGATGGTCGGATCTGACTAGAATCTGTCCTGTCGCTCGGGCGCAGAGAACGCCGCGGATTGTTACAGCGCCGGGCCGTGGAATTCATCTTCTCAGGATTTCCAGCCATGCACAAGGTCCGCCCCCGCGCGGAGCAGATTGGAGGCTCCTTGACCACACAGTGTGCTGTATATGGATTTGTCTCCCTGGCATGTCCTTGTCATGGTAACGTCTTTGTATGTCCTTTACGGTCGCCGTACACGGTACTACAAGATCCCCGCCCTCTGTATGATCACACGGTACTACAAGATCCCCGCCCTCTGTATGATCACACGGTACTACAAGATCCCCGCCCTCTGTATGATCATCATATGCGCTTACACACGGTACTACAAGATCCCCGCCCTCTGTATGATCACACGGTACTACAAGATCCCCGCCCTCTGTATGATCACACGGTACTACAGATCCCCGCCCTCTGTATGATCATCATATGCGGTACTACAAGATCCCCGCCCTCTGTATGATCACACGGTACTACAAGATCCCCGCCCTCTGTATGATCACACGGTACTACAAGATCCCCGCCCTCTGTATGATCATCATATGCGCTTACACACGGTACTACAAAATCCCCGCCCTCTGTATGATCATCATATGCGCTTACACACGGTACTACAAGATCCCCGCCCTCTGTACAGTCATTACGCGGTACTACTACAAGATCCCCGCCCTCTATATGGTCATCATATGCACTTACACACGGGTACTACAAAATCCCCCGCCCTCTGTATGATCACACGGTACTACAAGATCCCCGCCCTCTGTATGGTCATCATATGCGCTGACACACGGTACTACGAGATCCCCGCCCTGTACTGTCACACGTCAACGCGGTACTACAAGATCCCCGCCCTCTGTATGGTCACACGGTATTACAAGATCCCCGCCCACTGTACGGTCACATGGTACTACGATATCGGTCACGATGGTCCCCGCCCACTGTACGGTCACACGCGGTACTACAAGATCCCCGCCCTCTGTGTGGTCACACGCGGTACTACGAGATCCCCGCCCTCTGTGCGGTCACACACGCGGTACTACGAGATCCCCGCCCTCTGTGTGGTCACACGCGGTACTACGAGATCCCCGCCCTCTGTACGGTCACACGCGGTACTACGAGATCCCCGCCCTCTGTGCGGTCACACGCGGTACTACGAGATCCCCGCCCTCTGTGCGGTCACACGCGGTACTACGAGATCCCCGCCCTCTGCGCGGTCACACGCGGTACTACGAGATCCCCGCCCTGTGCGCGGTCACACGCGGTACTACGAGATCCCCGCCCTCTGCGTGGTCACACGCGGTACTACGAGATCCCCGCCCTCTGCGTGGTCACACGCGGTACTACGAGATCCCCGCCCTCTGCGTGGTCACACGCGGTACTACGAGATCCCCGCCCTCTGCGCGGTCACACGCGGTACTACGAGATCCCCGCCCTCTGCGGTCACACGCGGTACACACGCGGTACTACGCGGTACGAGATCCCCGCCCTCTGCGCGGTCACACGCGGTACTACGAGATCCCCGCCCTCTGCGCGGTCACACGCGGGTACTACGAGATCCCCGCCCTCTCGGTGCGCGGTCACACGCGGTACTACGAGATCCCCGCCCTCTGCGCGGTCACACGCGGTACTACGAGATCCCCGCCCTCTGCGCGGTCACACGCGGTACTACGAGATCCCCGCCCTCTGCGCGGTCACACGCGGTACTACGAGATCCCCGCCCTCTGCGCGGTCACACGTCTACACACGCGGTACTACGAGATCCCCGCCCTCTGTGTGGTCACACGCGGTACTACGAGATCCCCGCCCTCTGCGTGGTCACACGCGGTACTACGAGATCCCCGCCCTCTGTGCGGTCACACGCGGTACGCGTACTACGCGGTACTACGAGATCCCCGCCCTCTGTGCGGGTCACACGCGGTACTACGAGATCCCCGCCCTCTGCGCGGTCACACGCGGTACTACGAGATCCCCGCCCTATGTGCGGTCACACGCGGTACTACGAGATCCCCGCCCTCTGCGTGGTCACACGCGGTACTACGAGATCCCCGCCCTCTGCGCGGTCACACGCTACGGTACTACGAGATCCCCGCCCTCTGCGCGGTCACACGCGGTTACTACGAGATCCCCGCCCTCTGTGTGGTCACACGCGGTACTACGAGATCCCCGCCCTCTGCGTGGTCACACGCGGTACTACGAGATCCCCGCCCTCTGCGTGGTCACACGCGGTACTACGAGATCCCCGCCCTCTGCACAGACTCCGTCACTTACACTGGTCATCGCTGATGTCTATTTGTGATGCTCGCCGGATGTAATTCTGACACGTAACTCTCCATCCCGGACCGGCCCCAATAAACGTCGTAGTGTGGGGGAGGGGAGGGTGATCTATACATATGTAGAGCGCACACGCTGTCATTACACGCGGGATAGTTCACCCTACAGCCAACCACAAACCCCACCCCCTTCTCCGCCCACCTGCAGTGCACTGTGGGTGATATGGGGCCTCTCATTGTCTGTGGACACGGTTCCATCTGGTGGTATGTGCTACCCGTGTGTGCGACATGCACTTGTCCTTCGCATGAAGTGAGCGGGAGGGTCTCACCCCCTTCGCTGCAGTCCGCATGTCTGATGTGTTTTTACTGAACGTGTATATTATGCAAAACTTGTTTCAGCTTCTTGTTGGAATGATGTCACGGAAACATCCCATGTGCTGTGTGTGCAGCACGCCCCTCGGGGCCACCTGTGTCCCCTCCCCCCAGCACGCCCCTTGGGGGCCACCTGTGTCCCCTCCCCCCAGCACGCCCCTCGGGGCCACCTGTGTCCCCTCCCCCCAGCACGCCCCTCGGGGCCAACCTGTGTCCCCTCCCCCCAGCACGCCCCTCGGGGCCACCTGTGTCCCCCCCCCCCCAATACGCCCCTCGGGTCCACCTGTCCACTCCTCCCCCCCCCAACACGCCCCCTCGGGTCCACCTGTGTCCTCCTCCCCCCCCCAACACGCCCCTCGGGGTCCACCTGTCTCCTCTCCCCCCCCCAACACGCCCCTCGGGTCCACCTGTCTCCTCTCCCCCCCCAACACGCCCCCTCGGGTCCACCTGTCTCCTCTCCCCCCCAACACGCCCCTCGGGTCCACCTGTCTCCTCTCCCCCCAACACGCCCCTCGGGTCCACCTGTGTCCCCTCTCCCCCCCAGCACGCCCCTCGGGGCCACCTGTGTCCCCTCCCCCCAGCACGCCCCTCGGGTCCACCTGTGTCCTCTCCCCCCCAATACGCCCCTCCACCTGTGTCCCCTCCCCCCCAACACGCCCCTCGGGTCCACCTGTCTCCTCTCCCCCCCCAACACGCCCCTCGGGTCCACCTGTCTCCTCTCCCCCCCCAACAACACCTGCCCCTCGGGTCCACCTGTCTCCTCTCCCCCCCCCCCAACACGCCCCTCGGGTCCACCTGTCCACCTGTCTCCTGTCTCCCCCCCCAACACGCCCCTCGGGTCCACCTGTCTCCTCTCCCCCCCCAACACGCCCCCTCGGGTCCACCTGTCTCCTCTCCCCCCCCAACACGCCCCTCGGGTCCACCTGTCTCCTCTCCCCCCCAACACGCCCCTCGGGTCCACCTGTCTCCCCTCCCCCCCCAACACGCCCCTCGGGTCCACCTGTCTCCTCTCCCCCCCCAACACGCCCCTCGGGTCCACCTTGTGTCCCCTCTCCCCCCAGCACGCCCCTCGGGTCCACCTGTGTCCCCTCCCCCCCCCCTCAGCACGCCCCTCGGGGCCACCTGTGTCCCCTCCCCCCAGCACGCCCCTCGGGTCCACCTGTGTCCCCTCCCCCCCAATACGCCCCTCGGGTCCACCTGTCTCCTCTCCCCCCAACACGCCCCTCGGGTCCACCTGTCTCCTCTCCCCCCCCCACGCCCCTCGGGTCCACCTGTCTCCTCTCCCCCCCCAACACGCCCCTCGGGTCCACTTGTGTCCTCTCCCCCCCCAAGCACGCCCCTCGGGTCCACCTGTCTCCCCTCTCCCCCCCCAGCACGCCCCTCGGGGCCACATGTCTCCTCTCCCCTTAACATGCCCCTCAGGTCCACTTGTGTCCCCTCTCCCCCCCCAGCACGCCCCTCGGGGCCACCTGTCTCCTCTCCCCCCAGCACGCCCCTCGGGGCCACCTGTCTCCTCTCCCCCCCAGCACACCCCCTCGGGGCCACCTGTCTCCTCTCCTCCCCCCCCCAGCACGCCCCTTGGGGCCACCTGTCTCCTCTCCATCTGATGTGCCCCCCCCCGAGGCTGGTCCACCCCTCTGTCCTCACTCCACCTGTCTCTTCTCCCCCCAGCACGCCCCTCGGCTCCATGTGTCTCCTCTCCGTCTGATGTGCCCCCCCAAGGTCCACCTGTCTCCCCTCTGTCCACCCCTCTGTCCTCACTCTCCACCCCTCTTCCCCCCACTCCACCCCCCCTGTCCAATGTGGCCCCCAGGTCCACCGCTCTATCCTCACCCGTCTCCTCTCCGTCTGATGCACCCCATTGGGTCCACCCGTCTCCTCTGTGCCCAGTACACCCCTTGGGTCTGCCAATCTCCTCTCCGTCGGATGTGCCCCCCCATCCCCCCCCCAATCTCCTCTCTGTCCACTATGCCCCCGAGGTCCACCTGTCTTCATTCCACCCAATGCACCCTCCAGCCCCCCCCCTCTATTCTCACCCCTCTCAGTGCATCCCTCAGCTCCGCCCACTTTGTCTTGACTCCACCTGTTTCCCGTGAAGCAGAGGACCCAGAAGACACTATTTTTCCATGGAATCAGACGGCGTCTTGATGTGTATTTTGTCTTTTATGTGTTAAAGAGAAATTATTGTATTTATCTGAGAAGATTATTTTATTTGTAAAAAAGGAATTTATGAGAGTTTTATGGATAAATAAACCGAATTATTGTACAGTTGTCAGGTCTGCGTCTTCCTCCCGAATTGTGCCATGTATTGATGTACAGGGAGTGCATACACCCCGCCGGGGGCTCCGACCTCCACACGGGGACCGAGACTGGGGGCTCCGACCTCCACATGGGGATGGGGGCTCCGACCTCCACATCGGGGACCGGGGGGCTCCGGGACCTCCGACCTCCACACGGGGACCGAGACTGGGGGCTCCTGACCTCCACATCCATCCACACGGACCTCCATCCAGGGACTGGGGGCTCCGATCTCCACACGGGGACCGGGGGGGCTCCGACCTGGGGACCCGAGGGGACTGGGGGCTCGACCTCCACACGGGGACCGGGGGCTCCGACCTCCACACGGGGACCGGGGGCTCCGACCTCCATCCGGGGACCGAGACTGGGGGCTCCGACCTCCATCCGGGGACCCGAGACTGGGGGCTCCGACCTCCATCCGGGGACCGAGACTCCGACCTCCACCCGGGGGCTCCGACCTCCACACGGGGACCGAGACTGGGGGCTCCGACCTCCACACGGGGACGGGGGGGCTCCGACCTCCACACGGGGACGGGGGCTCCGACCTCCATCCGGGGACCGAGACTGGGGGCTCCGACCTCCATCCAGGGGCTCCGATCTCCACACAGGGACTGGGACCAGGGGCTCCGACCTCCACACGGGGACCGGGGGCTCCGACCTCCACCCGGGGGCTCCGATCTCCACACGGGGACCGAGACTGGGGGCTCCGACCTCCACACGGGGACCGGGGGGACCGGGGGGGCTCCGACCTCCACACGGGGACCGGGGGCTCCGACCTCCACACGGGGACCGAGACTGGGGGCTCCGACCTCCACACGGGGACCGGGGGCTCCGACCTCCACCACGGGGATCGAGACTGGGGGCTCCGACCTCCATCCACTCGGGGACCCAGGGGGGGCTCCGACCTCCACACGGGGACCGGGGGCTCCGACCTCCACACGGGGACCGGGGGCTCCGACCTCCACACGGGGACTGAGACGGGGGGCTCCGACCTCCACACGGGGACCGGGGGCTCCGACCTCCACACGGGGAGCTCCGACCTCCACACGGGGGACCGGGGGCTCCGACCTCCACACGGGGACCGGGGGCTCCGACCTCCACACGGTGACCGGGGGCTCCGCCCAGGGACAGGGTACAATCACATAGAGGAGGAGAGGTAAGTGCACAACTGGCCCCTTATGGTTGCAGTGCAGACAAATGTAAGAAAGTATCTGATTGGTTCTTTCCTATCCCTCCCCCTGTGTACTGAGAGAAGTGTGGGGGAGGGGCTTTCATTGCTGATCTTTAGTGGGGGGGAGGGGTTCCAATTAATGATCTTTTACTAAACAAACTAGTTGCGGGGCCGTCTCTGGTCCGGGACAAGCATGCATCCAGTGAAGTCAGAATTCCGCCATATTTGTTCAGGTCAGTGACTCAGATGATGGAAACTTTCAGATCAATACTGCAGCCAGGCAACCAGAATTTTTCGGCAGGATAATCAGAGGCCACTTCATTTCCTGTGAACCCGAATTGGACGACCTTTCATTGGCTCTGTGGCTTAGAAGCGCTCGCTGTGTTTTCACACAATACTGATTTTCATTGTTTTCCATCTCTTTGTTACATTCCAGTCCTGCGGATCTCCTGCAGCCTCTTTGCACCCATCTCTGCTGACCCTGAAGGTGGTACTACCTGTTACAGGGTGACAACACTCTGACCCTGCCGTCCAGTCCTAATCCAGTGTTGTCACACGGGCTTCTGATGGAGACTACATTTCAGCACACATGACAGACATGGTCCACTGTTGTCACCATCAGGAAACCCGCCCCATGGAGGCACCATGGAGTGCAGGTAGACAGGAAGTGGCTGCAAAGTGCCTCGTGGGGGATCAGCAGCACTGACATGGAACAAAGGAGGGAAAAGGGATTTGAATGAATACAAAGAGAATGTTCCTACAGAGACTGAATGTCATCACAAAAGTCAGAGACCTCGGCCGCTCCTCGGGGGGTTTGGTGTATTTTGTAGTTTTCCCATCACAGGCGGGTTGTGTATGTAATCCGGACTACCGGCTCCCCTCCTTCCAGGACCGAGCAGTCCACGGGGGGGCGTGTCCATCCACCTCCCCACCTCCATCCATCAGACCCGACAGGGGGCGGAGCGTGTCCATCCACCCCCCCACCTCCATCCATCAGACCCGACGGGGGGGGAGCGTGTCCATCCACCCCCCCACCTCCATCCATCACCTCCATCCATCAGACCCGACGGGGGGCGGAGCGTGTCCATCCACCTCCCCACCTCCATCCATCAGACCCGACGGGGGGCGGAGCGTGTCCATCCACCTCCCCACCTCCATCCATCAGACCCGACGGGGGGATCCACCTCCCCACCTCCATCCATCAGGGGGGGCCCGACGGGGGGCGGGCGGAGTGTGTGTGTGTCCATCCACCTCCCCACCTCCATCCATCAGACCCGACGGGGGGCGGAGCGTGTCCATCCACCTCCCCACCTCCATCCATCAGACCCGACGGGGGGGGGAGGAGTGTCGTGTGTCCATCCACCCCCCCACCTCCATCCATCAGACCCGACGGGTGGGATGGGGGGGGCTGTGTGTCCATCCACCTCCCCACCTCCATCCATCAGACCCGACGGGGGGGCGGAGCGTGTCCATCCACCTCCCCACCTCCATCCATCAGACCCGACGGGGGGGCGGAGCGTGTCCATCCACCTCCCCACCTCCATCCATCAGACCCGACGGGTGGGGGGGGCTGTGTGTCCATGGGGGGGGATGGGGGGGCTGTGTGTCCATCCCCACCTCCCCATCACCTCCATCCATCATCCATCAGACCCGACGGGGGGGGGAGCGAGTCGTCGTGTGTCCATCCCCGACCCCCCCACCTCCCCACCTCCATCCATCAGACCCGACGGGGGGGGGAGCGGGACCCGACGGGGGGGCGGCATGTCCATCTCCATCAGAGGGGGGGGGGCGTGGGGGGGGGGGGGAGCGTGTCCATCCACCTCCCCACCTCCATCCATCAGACCCGACGGGGGGGCGGAGCGTGTCCATCCACCTCCCCACCTCCATCCATCAGACCATGTCCATCCATCCCCACCTCCATCCATCAGACCCGACGAGGGGAGGAGTCGTCGTGTGTCCATCCACCCCCCCACCTCCATCCATCGGGGGGGGGCGGCATGTCCATCTATCAGAGGAGGGGGGGGGGGGCGGCATGTCCATCTATCAGAGGAGGGGGGGGGGGGTATTCCCTTTTATTCAATCAAACCATAATTTGGGCAGAAACAAGCCCGCTGAGTGCGATCTGCAGAGAGAACGTTTCTTCTTGTGAAAAGTAACAAAATACACCAAAAACCAGCGGGGCCCTCTGTGGGGCCCTCGAGGAGCCCCCGACCCCCCTCACCATGGACTCGGATACACAGAATCACACGATTGGACACAGATCGATGATCAGCAGTTTATTGGTGATAGACGGACGGCCATATTACTCCGACTTCTCCTCCCCACATCAGTTGTTGCTGATGATCTGCAGAGAAATGTGAAATATGTTACTGTCAGATCTGCACTTCCTGCTGAAAGGAAATGATGACCAGAATCACTTTGTTTAATAACTTGTTGTTCTTTTTTTGCACAGAGTGGCTCCGATCCCGCTGGGGGCCCTGGCTCCTCCTCCCTGTTCAGTACCCCCAATAGCCAGCCCCTATGGGGGCACTCAAGTGAATGAACATTGTCCACTCACAAACAGCCGTGGCTTGGCCCCACCCCCTGCTCCCTCATTGGTTAAGTGGCTGTGATTGACAGCAGCAGGAGCCAATGGTTCCCATTGTGTGTGAGCCAATGAGGAGAGAGACCTGGGAGAGCCGCTTCTCTCATGCACATCAATGGCTGGAGGGGGAGCTGCACTAGAGCCACTTTAAAGCCAAACTCCACCTTTAGGGCCGCTTCCCACCACAAGACCCCCCCCCCCCCCCCCCCCCAGATCTGTTAGGATAACATGGAGGGCAGAAAACAGATTCCCCGCCGCCTCTGGCAGCCACATTGTACAGGAGACGTGAAGGGCTGGACCTCGGCTGTCCAGGAAAGTCCCTCTTCACACAAAATGAAAAAAGGGGAAATGACCAAATATCCCAGCCCCCCCCTCTGTACATAGCGGCTGCGGCGCCCCCTGCTGCCGGTGTAGCAGAACATACACGGCGAGTATCCACCATAACGCTCACCATGGCAGGAGCTCATTGGTCAGGGCCTTCTCTGATGTGCTTGTCATTGGCCAGCATGGTCACATGGCTGAGGTGACCAATGAGCACTTACTGTTCTGAGCATTATGATGGATACATACTCCGGGGTATCACAGCCGCCATGTGCACCGGGGGGGGGGGCTATTTACTAAAAGCTGGAGAATGCAAAATCCGGCCCACTTCTTCATAGAAACCAATCAGCTTTCAGCTTTTATTGCCGAAGCTTCACTGACCAAGCTGAGACTAGAAGCTGATTGGTTTCTATGCAGCAGTGGGCCGGATTCTGCACTATAGTGGCTTGTAGTGGTTGGCGGGAGGTACCACAGTGCACGGGGGGGGGGGCACCCGGGGCTTCGAGACAGCGGAGACCCCTCACCCACTGGAAAGGCAAGGCTCATTTTTCCATTATTGCCCCCCCAAGAATAAGCCGTTCCCCATATTGCCTCCATGTTGTGCTGGTGTCACCTCGCCCTGCGATACTCACATTGCTGACCCAGGCGTTGAAGGCGGAGACGCGGGTGAACACGGTCGGCTTCTTGGGGGCGTTGCAGCCCAGAGAGGAGACAAAGCTGGCGATGCCGTGTGACGTACCACCTGCCGTCACCCCCCTGACAGTTCAGAGGACCACCGGAGTCACCCTGCAATCAGGACAAAGGAAGAACCATCAATGGCCACCAATCACATGACACAATCCTGCTCCAGCCAATCACAGTGTTGGATTTGGGATGTCAGGTTCTGTTCTCACAGGTACACTGCACTTGGGGTGGGGGCACATGGGGGGGGGGGGGGGGGGGGCACACATGGGTAGGGGGGGATATGAACAATGGGGGATGGGTCCCTACAAAGTGCTCCACCCTAATTATTGTGAAGGGAATCTGATTGCTGTCTAAGGAAAACGCGGACGGTCCTCCATTCACCCTCTCCAGTGCCGGGGAACGCGGACGGTCCTCCATTCACCCTCTCCAGTGCCGGGGAACGCGGACGGTCCTCCATTCCCCTCTCCCGGGACGGGGAACGCGGACGGTCCTCCATTCACCCTCTCCCGGGCCGGGGAACGCGGACGGTCCTCCATTCACCCTCTCCAGGGCCGGGGAACGCGGACGGTCCTCCATTCACCCTCTCCCGGACGGGGAACACCTTCACCCTCTCCAGTGCCGGGGAACGCGGACGGTCCTCCATTCACCCTCTCCCGGGACGGGGAACGCGGGGTCCTCCATTCACCCTCTCCAGTGCCGGGGAACGGGACGGTCCTCCATTCACCCTCTCCCGGGACGGGGAACGCGGACGGTCCTCCATTCACCCTCTCCAGTGCCGGGGAACGCGGACGGTCCTCCATTCACCCTCTCCCGGGACGGGGACCGCGGACGGTCCTCCATTCACCCTCTCCAGGGCCGGGGAACGCGGACGGTCCTCCATTCACCCTCTCCCGGGACGGGGACCGCGGACGGTCCTCCATTCACCCTCTCCAGTGACGGGGAACGCGGACGGTCCTCCATTCACCCTCTCCCGGGACGGGGAACGCGGACGGTCCTCCATTCACCCTCTCCCGTGACGGGGAACGCGGACGGTCCTCCATTCACCCTCTCCCGTGACGGGGAACAGGGACGGTCCTCCATTCACCCTCTCCCGTGACGGGGAACGCGGACGGTCCTCCATTCACCCTCTCCCGTGACGGGGAACGCGGCCCGTCCTTCTTTCACCCTGGGACGGGGAACGCGGACGGTCCTCCATTCACCCTCTCCCGTGACGGGGAACGCGGCCCGTCCTTCTTTCACCCTCTCCCGGGACGGGGAACGCGGACGGTCCTCCATTCACCCTCTCCAGGGACGGGGAACGCGGACCGTCCTTCTTTCACACTGCGGGGAATGGAGGGAACTCGGTACTCACATTGCAGCCGGCTTTGGTGTCTCCTCCGGCACAAACCATGGAGGTCTTCACGGTGCTGCCCCACCAATCCCTCTGGCTGCAGGTGGTATGATCCGCCACGGGGAGGAGAGCCTGCTGGAGGACGTCAGGGAGGCTTCCACCGGCTGTGCGGGAGAGAACACAGGGGGGGCCATGAGCTGGATATAGACCCGGGGGGGAGGGGGGGGGACAAACTGTACACTTCACAGGGCGAGCGTTCCTGCATTCAGTACATCAGTATTACCCCCCCCCCCCCCAACTATCCCTAGTTATCCCTCCCCCCCCCCCCATCTATCCCTAGTTATCCCTCCCCCCCATCTATCCCTCAACCCCCCCCACCCCCCATCTATCCCTAGTTATCCCTCAACCCCCCCCCCCCCCCCCATCTATCCCTAGTTGTCCATCAACCCCCCCCCCCCCCCCCCCACTATCCCTAGTTATCCCCCCCCTTCATCTATCCCTAGTTATCCCCCCCCCCCCCCTCATCTAATCCCTAGTTATCCCCCCCCCTCATCTATCCCTAGTTATCCCCCCCCCCCCCATCTATCCCTAGTTATCCTCAACCCCCCCCCCCCCCCCCATCTATCCCTAGTTGTCCATCAACCCCCCCCCCCCCCCCCCAACTATCCCTAGTTATCCCCCCCCCTCATCTATCCCTAGTTATCCCCCCCCCCTCATCTATTCCTAGTTATCCTTCAACCCAACCCCCCCCCCCCCCCCCCCCCCCATCTATCCATAGCTATCCCTCCCCCCTTCATCTATTCCTATTTTCTTAGTTATCCTTCAAAACCCAACCCAACCCCCCCCCCCCAAAATCTATCACTAGCTATCCCTCCCCCCTTCATCTATTCATAGTTACCCCCCCCCCCCCATAAATACTGGTCAGACTCCATACACCCCCAGCGACCCCCCCCCCCCCCTCCCCCATACATACTGGTGAGGCGGCCCCATCCGCTGATATAACAGGGGTACTGGTTGGGTAGGAGTTCCCCAGCGGGGGGGAGACAGGCCAATTGCACCTCATCGTTCAGCAGAGCGACCCGAGACAACTTGATGAGAGCGATGTCATTCCTGGGGGGGGGAGAAGATCACAGAGACCCGTCACCAACATGACCTGCAGGTAAGTGTACAGCAAAAGGGGGGGGCGGGGGCGGATCAATCAGAGCTGCATGGAGGATCACTTGGAGTGATGACCCCAGACAGACATAGAGAACATTTCCAGATCTCCGACCAATCCCCACCCCAGCCAAACATGAGATACCCCGATACAGACTCCTCCTACACCGCCACACCCCGATACAGACTCCTCCTACACCGCCGCACCCCCTGATAGACTCCTCCTACACCGCCACACCCCGATACAGACTCCTCCTACACACCGCCACACACCCCGATACAGACTCCTCCTACACCGCCACACCCCGATCCAGACTCCTCCTACACCGCCAGACCCCGATACAGACTCCTCCTACACCGCCAAACCCCGACACAGACTCCTCCTACACCGCCAGACCTCGACACAGACTCCTCCTACACCGCCAGACCCCGACACAGACTCCTCCTACACCGCCAGACCCCGACACAGACTCCTCCTACACCGCCAGACCCCGACACAGACTCCTCCTACACCGCCAGACCCCAATACAGACTCCTCCTACACCGCAAGACCCCGATACAGACTCCTCCTACAGCGCAAGACCCCGATACAGATTCCTCCTATACCGCCAGATCCCAATGCAGACTCCTCCTACACCTCAAGACCCCGATACAGACCCCTCCTACACTGCCACACCCCAATATAGACCCCTCCTACACCACCAGATCCCGATACAGACTCCTCCTACACTGCACGACCCCCGATACAGACTCCTCCTACACTGCACGACCCCGATACAGACTCCTCCTACTCCGCAAAACTCCAGTACAGACTTTGACAATTAAAAGACCCCCAACACAGACACCAATGATGCCACAAGACCCCGATACAGACTCCTCCTACACCGCCACACCCCGATACAGACTCCTCCTACACCGCCACACCCCGATACAGACTCCTCCTACACCCGCCACACCCCGATACAGACTCCTCCAACAACAAAAAGCCCCCCAATAGACTCCTTCAATGCTACAAATACCTTCGGCTCCACCAACAACTTCAATCTGCATCCAATGAGACACAAATGAGAAGGAATTGCTTCGGCCCTCATGCTACAAATCTCGGTAATGCAGATTGTACAGAAGGGGCGGAGCTTAGAAGAATTATTATATATTATATATAATTGTTATATACGACGCCCAGACCCCGCCCAACCTCCATGACACCCAGACTTACCGCCCAACCTCCATGACACCCAGGTGCACTGCCCAACCTCCATGACACCCAGACTTACCGCCCAACCTCCATGACACCCAGGTGCACTGCCCAACCCTCCATGACACCCAGACTCACCGCCCAAGACTCCATGACACCCAGACTCACCGCCCAACCTCCATGAACCCTCCATGACACCCAGACTCACCGCCCAACCTCCATGACACCCAGGTGCACTGCCCAACCTCCATGACACCCAGACTCACCGCCCAACCTCCATGACACCCAGACTCGCTGCCCAACCTCCATGACACCCAGGTGCACTGCCCAACCCTCCATGACACCCAGACTCACCGCCCAACCTCCATGACACCCAGACTCACTGCCCAACCTCCATGACACCCAGGTGCACTGCCCAACCTCCATGACACCCAGACTCACCGCCCAACCTCCATGACACCCAGACTCACCGCCCAACCTCCATGACACCCAGACTCACCGCCCAACCTCCATGACACCCAGGTGCACTGCCCAACCTCCATGACACCCAGACTCACCGCCCAATCTCCATGACACCCAGACTCACTGCCCAACCTCCATGACACCCAGGTGCACTGCCCAACCTCCATGACACCCAGACTCACCGCCCAAACTCCATGACACCCAGACTCACCGCCCAACCTCCATGACACCCAGACTCACCGCCCAACCTCCATGACACCCAGACTCACCGCCCAACCTCCATGACACCCAGACTCACCGCCCAACCTCCATGACACCCAGACTCACCGCCCAACCTCCATGACACCCAGACTCACCCAGCTTAGCCCAACCTCCATGACACCCAGACTCACCGCCCAACCTCCATGACACCCAGGTGCACTGCCCAACCTCCATGACACCCAGACTCACCGCCCAACCTCCATGACACCCAGACTCACCGCCCAACCTCCATGACACCCAGGTGCACTGCCCAACCTCCATGACACCCAGACTCACCGCCCAACCTCCATGACACCCAGACTCACCGCCCAACCTCCATGACACCCAGACTCACCGCCCCCAACCTCCATGACGCCCAAGTTTGAAACCCAACCTCCATGACGGCCCGGCTCACCACCCAACCTCCATGACGCCTGGGCTCGACACCACCCAACCTCCATGACGCCCAGACTCACCACCCAACCTCCATGACGCCCTGGCTCACCACCCAACCTCCGTGACGCCTCGGCTCACCCACCCAACCTCCGTGACGCCTCGGCTCACCACCCAACCTCCGTGACGCCTCGGCTCACCACCCAACCTCCGTGACGCCCCGGCTCAACACCCAACCTCCGTGACGCCCCGGCTCAACACCCAACCTCCGTGACGCCCCGGCTCAACACCCAACCTCCGTGACGCCCCGGCTCAACACCCAACCTCCGTGACGCCCGGGCTCGACACCACCCAACCTCCATGACGCCCCGGCTCAACACCCAACCTCCATGACGCCCAGGCTCACCACCCAACCTCCATGACCACCAGCCTCCAGGAAGTCTCCAGTCCTGAACAGTGGGGGTAAGTGACCTCCCTGCCCCTGATAATAAATTCATCCTGCTCTGAGCTAAGGTTATCCTGACCCCAACCCAAGACTGGACTCTGGTGATTGTATACCATCCAGACAAGGTACAGGAAATGATGGAGACTCACCCATTGGACACGGAGGAGCTCTTCCATCCCTCATGGACAAAAATGTCTCCCTTATTTATTGGGACAATCTGCTCCCGCCCCTCCGCCATGCTCCGATCGTGTTCCCCGAGCACCACCTGGTACGTACGGCTGGATCTGAGGGAAGAACAATGGATTATTATGGTGGACACACGTGGAGGTTTTCTGAGATCAATAACCTGGAACCTTCCGGAACAACGTTCCACCGCCAGCCAGGATCTTAGAATAAAACAATAAAATTCCAATAAACATTTTATATCAAAAAGCTGCCACAGATGTCGATTTTATCATCGAATTCCGCAAAGCAGGACAATCGTAACGGGAAGCCATAAGATGGACTTTACTGTCTGCTGATCAATGGTGCCACCATCTACCTTCTCCATGTCACCAGCACGTCCTGAACCTTTCATCTGTGACATTACACCAAAGGTCCCCCAAGGGCCACACATTATATTCACTGAATGCAATGCTACAAAACAATGTCAGAGACCGTAGACCTGGTACAGGAGACGGTCAGAGACTGCAGACATAGTACAGGAGATGACCAGAGACTGCAGACATAGTACAGGAGATGACCAGAGACTGCGGACATAGTACAGGAGATGACCAGAGACTGCGGACATAGTACAGGAGATGACCAGAGACTGCGGACACAGTACAGGAGATGACCAGAGACTGCGGACACAGTACAGGAGATGACCAGAGACCGCAGAGATAGTACAGGAGATGACCAGAGACCGCAGAGATAGTACAGGAGATGACCAGAGACTGCAGAGATAGTACAGGAGATGACCAGAGACTGCGGACACAGTACAGGAGATGACCAGAGACTGCAGACATAGTACAGGAGATGACCAGAGACTGCAGACACAGTACAGGAGATGACCAGAGACTGCGGACATAGTACAGGAGATGACCAGAGACTGCGGACACAGTACAGGAGATGACCAGAGACTGCGGACACAGTACAGGAGATGACCAGAGACTGCGGACACAGTACAGGAGATGACCAGAGACTGCGGACACAGTACAGGAGATGACCAGAGACTGCGGACACAGTACAGGAGATGACCAGAGACTGCGGACACAGTACAGGGATGACCAGAGACTGCGGACACAGTACAGGAGATGACCAGAGACTGCGGACATAGTACAGGAGATGACCAGAGACTGCGGACACAGTACAGGAGATGACCAGAGACTGCGGACACAGTACAGGAGATGACCAGAGACTGCGGACATAGTACAGGAGATGACCAGAGACTGCGGACACAGTACAGGAGATGACCAGAGACTGCGGACACAGTACAGGAGATGACCAGAGACTGCGGACACAGTACAGGAGATGACCAGAGACTGCGGACACAGTACAGGAGATGACCAGAGACTGCGGACACAGTACAGGAGATGACCAGAGACTGCGGACACAGTACAGGAGATGACCAGAGACTGCGGACATGGTACAGGAGATGACCAGAGACTGCGGACACAGTACAGGAGATGACCAGAGACTGCGGACACAGTACAGGAGATGACCAGAGACTGCGGACACAGTACAGGAGATGACCAGAGACTGCGGACATGGTACAGGAGATGACCAGAGACTGCGGACACAGTACAGGAGATGACCAGAGACTGCGGACACAGTACAGGAGATGACCAGAGACTGCGGACACAGTACAGGAGATGACCAGAGACTGCGGACACAGTACAGGAGATGACCAGAGACTGCGGACACAGTACAGGGGATGACCAGAGACTGCGGACACATAGTACAGGAGATACTTACGAGATGCAGTGAGCGGCGGTCATCACCCAGTTTGGGGCGATCAGACTTCCTCCGCAGGTGTGATAGAAGGAATCTCCACTCTTGTACTGCAGGGAGATCTGGGAGGGGAGGGGAGGTGTCACTGGAAGACTCTTCACATACAGGGGGGGTTACCGTTCCCATCAGCAGCCCAACTCGGGAATATTAAGAGATCTGACAATCGGAGGGCCGATCCTCCAACCTTCACCAGATACCAGACTTTATCTGACGTCATCCTGAGCAGAAATCGCACCCTTACCTGCCGGGGCCCACACCTGTCCGTCTACAGGACCCTTACCTGTCGGGGCCCACACCTGTCCATCTACAGGACCCTTACCTGCCGGGGCCCACACCTGTCCATCTACAGGACCCTTACCTGTCGGGGCCCACACCTGTCCATCTACAGGACCCTTACCTGCCGGGGCCCACACCTGTCCATCTACAGGACCCCTACCTGCCGGGGCCCACACCTGTCCATCTACAGGACCCTTACCTGTCGGGGCCCACACCTGTCCATCTACAGGACCCCTACCTGTCGGGGCCCACACCTGTCCATCTACAGGACCCCTACCTGTCGGGGCCCACACCTGTCCATCTACAGGACCCCTACCTGTCGGGGCCCACACCTGTCCATCTACAGGACCCCTACCTGTCGGGGCCCACACCTGTCCATCTACAGGACCCTTACCTGCGGGGCCCACACCTGTCCGTCTACAGGACCCTTACCTGCCGGGGCCCACACCTGTCCATCTACAGGACCCTTACCTGTCGGGGCCCACACCTGTCCATCTACAGGACCCTTACCTGCCGGGGCCCACACCTGTCCATCTACAGGACCCTTACCTGTCGGGGCCCACACCTGTCCATCTACAGGACCCCTACCTGTCGGGGCCCACACCTGTCCATCTACAGGACCCCTACCCTTCGGGGCCCACACCTGTCCATCTACAGGACCCTTACCTGTCGGGGCCCACACCCTGTCCATCTACAGGACCCCTACCTGCCGGGGCCCACACCTGTCCATCTACAGGACCCCTACCTGTCGGGGCCCACACCTGTCCATCTACAGGACCCCTACCTGCCGGGGCCCACACCTGTCCATCTACAGGACCCCTACCTGTCGGGGCCCACACCTGTCCATCTACAGGACCCCTACCTGTCGGGGCCCACACCTGTCCATCTACAGGACCCCTACCTGTCGGGGGGCCCACACCTGTCCATCTACAGGACCCTTACCTGTCGGGGCCCACACCTGTCCATCTACAGGACCCCTACCTGCCGGGGCCCACACCTGTCCATCTACAGGACCCCTACCTGTCGGGGTTCACACCTGTCCATCTACAGGACCCCTACCTGCCGGGGCCTACACCTGTCCATCTACAGGACCCTTACCTGCCGGGGCCTACACCTGTCCATCTACAGGACCCTTACCTGCCGGGGCCCACACCTGTCCATCTACAGGACCCTTACCTGCCGGGGCCCACACCTGTCCGTCTACAGGACCCTTACCTGCCGGGGCCTACACCTGTCCATCTACAGGACCCTTACCTGCCGGGGCCCACACCTGTCCATCTACAGGACCCCTACCTGCCGGGGCCCACATGTCCGTCACATCCCTTTGCCGGGGCCTACACCTGTCCATCTACAGGACCCTTACCTGCCGGGGCCCACACCTGTCCATCTACAGGACCCCTACCTGCCGGGGCCCACACCTGTCCGTCTACAGGACCCTTACCTGCCGGGGCCACACCTGTCCATCTACAGCCCTTACCTGCCGGGGCCAATGATGCACCATGTACCAGGACCCCTACCTGCCGGGGCCCACACCGTGTACACCCCTGAGGGTACTTACCTCCAGTCATCACCAAGGGCACAGTATATACCCCTGATTAGAAAAATACTTACCTCCAGTCAAAAACCAAGGGAACAGAAAAGTAAATCCCATACCCCTGATGGGTACTTACCTCCAGTCATCACCAGGGAACAGTATATAACCCTGATGGGTACTTACCTCCAGTCATCACCAAGGGCACAGTATATACCCCTGATGGGTACTTACCTCCAGTCATCACCAAGGACACAGTATATAACCCTGATGTGTACTTACCTCCAGTCATCAGAGAGGACTCAGTATATAACCGTGATGTGTACTTACCTCCAGTCATCAGAGAGGACTCCGTATATACCCCTGATGGGTACTTACCTCCAGTCATCAGAGAGGACTCCGTATATAACCGTGATGTGTACTTACCTCCAGTCATCAGAGAGGACTCCGTATATAACCCTGATGTGTACTTACCTCCAGTCATCAGAGAGGACTCCGTATATAACCGTGATGTGTACTTACCTCCAGTCATCAGGAGGACTCCAGTATATAACCCTGATGTGTACTTACCTCCAGTCATCAGAGAGGACTCCGTATATAACCCGTGATGTGTACTTACCTCCAGTCATCAGAGAGGACTCCGTATATAACCGTGATGTGTACTTACCTCCAGTCATCAGAGAGGACTCCGTATATAACCCTGATGTGTACTTACCTCCAGTCATCAGAGAGGACTCCGTATATAACCGTGATGGGTACTTACCTCCAGTCATCAGGGAGGACACAGTATAGAACCCTGATGTGTACTTACCTCCAGTGACCAGGAAGAACTTCATATATAACCCTGATGTGTACTTACCTCCAGTCATCAGAGAGGACTCTGTATACAACCCTGATGTGTACTTACCTCCAGTGACCAGGAAGAACTTCATATATAACCTTGATGTCTACATACCTTCAGCAGACCCCTATCACAAGGAGGACACACTGTATATCACCCCAGTGAGTACTTACCTGAAGCCGCCAGAAATACAGTGATGAGAAGTTTCAGCATTGTGACAGAAGAGCTCTCCTCACCCAGCCGGCTTTAATACTCACCTTTATCAGGTGCTGGGAACAGGGGGGTGGGCATCCCGGAGGAACAGTTGGGGGTTGGGCAGATGCCCAAGGCTGCCCTGTATGAGCCAACCTTTCCTGGATCCCGGCCACCGAGAATGACACGAAATCAGCGAATACCAGAGGAGGGATGTCGGGAGGGTTCCAGGTGGACCAAGTGCTGCCAACCACAAATGACTTTGTACAGCTGTATAGTTCAGCTTCAAGTGAAGTCAACTCCCTGAACCCCGGGCTCTTCACTTTTCTGGTCTCTGGGGGAAGATGAAATCCCAGGACCACTCAGCGGCCTCCTGACGAGACCTATTCACACCCCAAACCAGGGACATCCCACACAGTGGGCACCATCCTTCATCCTTGTCCTGCAGGAACATGAAGAGCCTCCAGCATGACCATGTCTACACCACCTCTCCATACCCACACCATAACTGTCCAATCCCGTCCGTCTCTCAGGGCCCATCATTGGGTAAAAGTGCCATTTACCTAGATTTGATGCTTTTCCAGAGTGAGGACCGCCATCTATAACAATGCAAACCGTGGAAGAACGCACCTTGAATCCACACTGGCAACAATCATGGAGTCAAGTGTCTCAGACAAATCACAAGAGCATCCCTTCCTGCGTCCCATCTCCTTCGGGATGGAGTCTTTCCATTTCTCCGGGAGGGGAGGTGTACTGCGATGCTAAGCACCCACGCTGGGGCAGTTCACGTCAACCTGAGGGCAAAGCAAAACCTCTGTTTACTGGAAGCCTACTACATGGAACAACCACTAAGCCCCTTCCACTAGGGCCTTCAATACTAACCAGAAAACTGGAATGATGGCTATACCAGGGTCCCTGGCCATATACTGAGGGTACCTACCATACAGGTAGATTCAGGGAGTTTCACCTCCAACTGAACAGAAAACACCCCAAAACCACCAAACAGGACAGACCAACATAGAGATGGGACAGCAGAGGGTAGACCTCCTCCCGAGATGACGTCAATCATTGCTATGGGTGTGGGTAGACGTGTGTGGAGGTCCTGAGGTGACATTCTGGGTTATATAATCTGGGACCATACAGAAGGTGTGATGTCCTAGAATGGATATTGTAGGCCAGAGTCAAACTGAAGTCAGTAATGGGATTCCCAAAGATCGGATGCTTCTAGTCAGTAACATCCACAGCCGCCCCCAGTATAGGCCGGGCTGGCAGTATATCGGTGGTGAGGGAGGAATGGTGGATGCTCCCGGTGAGCTTGGGAAGGAATTATTGTCCTGTGTGACACTGTTGCCCTCAATGGGGTGGGGAGTGTGGAGGATGGGAAGGCTCAATGGGGTGGGGAGTGTGGAGGATGGGAAGGCTCAATGGGGTGGGGAGTGTGGAGGATGGGAAGGCTCAATGGGGTGGGGAGTGTGGAGGATGGGAAGGCTCAATGGGGTGGGGAGTGTGGAGGATGGGAAGGCTCAATGGGGTGGGGAGTGTGGAGGATGGGAAGGCTCAATGGGGTGGGGAGTGTGGAGGATGGGAAGGCTCAATGGGGTGGGGAGTGTGGGGATGGGAAGGCTCAATGGGGTGGGGAGTGTGGAGGAGGATGGGAAGGCTCAATGGGGTGGGGAGTGTGGAGGATGGGAAGGTTCAATGGGGTGGGGAGTGTGGAGGATGGGAAGGTTCAATGGGGTGGGGAGTGTGGAGGATGGGAAGGCTCAATGGGGTGGGGAGTGTGGAGGATGGGAAGGCTCAATGGGGTGGGGAGTGTGGAGGATGGGAAGGCTCAATGGGGTGGGGAGTGTGGAGGATGGGAAGGCTCAATGGGGTGGGGAGTGTGGAGGATGGGAAGGCTCAATGGGGTGGGGTGGGAGTGTGGAGGATGGGAAGGCTCAATGGGGTGGGGAGTGTGGAGGATGGGAAGGCTCAATGGGGTGGGGAGTGTGGAGGATGGGAAGGCTCAATGGGGTGGGGAGTGTGGAGGATGGGAAGGCTCAATGGGGTGGGGAGTGTGGAGGATGGGAAGGCTCAATGGGGTGGGGAGTGTGGAGGATGGGAAGGCTCAATGGGGTGGGGAGTGTGGAGGATGGGAAGGTGTAGGG